AATCTTACAATGTATCTCTGTGTTTGCCACGAAATTGCTACCATGTACTCTGTACCTGGAATCTTTTTATTGAAGTATGAGAGCGGGGAAACTATTTTATTTCAACTGTAATTAAGAGACAGAATTTTATTTAGTTTCCTATGCTTCCAAGAAGTGATAGTGTACAGGAATTCTTATTGTTATCAAATAACAGCAGTAAATTGACTAATAAATACTGTGTAAGTATTCTAGACAAAAGCTCCTTGTGTCTGGATTCCATGTGCAGAATATATGGAATGTTGGTTGACAACGGCATGCTATCCATGTGCTGGCATGTGGAATGGAGGTTGGTACATCACTTTGGAAGCAAACCTCCCAAACTCCTCTGTAGATATAATCCTCCTCTTCATCTACATCTACATGGTCCATCTCCTCAGAGTTCCGAGTCACCAACTCCATAGCCCCTCTTTGATGATGGACATTGGCGTCTGAATCCATGGTTAAGTTACTTCTTGGATGAGTAATTGCTGTTATAGGTGACTGTGAAATTGTTTCAAATGGAGTTATTAATCTTCCACCATCTGTCACTGTGATCGTACTCACAGCTACAGCCGTCACTTCCACGTGAAAAACGGTGTCCTGCGAGATATTCTGGACTTGCGTCTATCGGAATGGGTGTCCTACCATCTAAATTTATCTGCACAAACCGGAGGACAGTGCGGAATTGCTGTTCATTGTTGAAGAATGATAAAACTCTCATCCAAAGTTGGCTTCTTGATGGGGGGAGGGATGCGAGCACGAACGCCCGGCAAAACGATTTCAGGGATATTCTACGAAGTATATGATGAAAACAAACAGAACTGACCTTCACTAGCCTTAAAGGAAACAAACTTGATGTGGGCTCTTCGGCCACCTTGCAAATGAGAATCTCGTACAACGTAGTGTCTGTATGTCTGCTTCTCATACTCCTTTAGGGCGACCTTCAAAGACTCTAAAGATGGAAACGTGGCAAGACAAAAGCGTTTTATGAAGATTGATTCGTTTTCGGTTACAACACTTTGGACGGTATCGTCGCTCATCATGAACATAGAGCAACCCTTTCTCAGTTTGCTCCGTTTTATGGTACTTTTCGATTTCGTGCAACCAACCACGTGGGATGTTTCCTCGTCCATTTTGAGTGGACAACAAGTGACACAGGGAGTGAGGGGGAAGAGGTAGAAAACAACAGTTAAAAAAAACCATTACCGTGGACCAAATGTATTTCATGATCTGAAGACGAAGACTCAGTTCACTTATTGAAAAGTCATACCATGCAGCCAAGCTCAGTAGTATGGAGAATACGAAACCTATGCTTCAATGTAAACATCATCACTCCATACATGATTAAGTCACATCCCTTTGTGTATACCAATTTACATGTGTGTGCGATGACACATAGATTGGGAGGAGTAATCGAACTATGAAGTCCAGGGTGGTGGAGAATAACCCTAAATGGTTATGAAAACCATTATATTGAAATAATCTGATAAATACAGGGGGGAACAGACAAAGGTCATCGTCGATAGCCAAACACATCATAGAAAAAGGTCACAGGACTGACCCCAAAACAGCTTCTAGACCATTGTATAGGAGCCGTCAAAACCGTATACTTAGCTATACAAGAGTTTAAATTCCCTTTGTGTATTGAAAAACAGTTTTTCCTTACTTTAAAATTCACCTCGGTAATCTTTATCTCTTTTTAATGCCAAGGTAGGTGTGAAAAATGTCCTACTATTCCTCTTCATTATCCCAACATTTTCTAGCTAGTAGTGGAATCCAGGATGCACATTTCATCCTATTTGGGACTCATCAGCCGGATGTACCTGTTTCCCAGTAAGCGATGTTGTTCCCACGAGGATTCAGACTCGAGACTCCTAGATTCCACTGCTAGCCACGATTCGTCATTAATATAATTATAACGCAGGCAATATCGAGGCATATACACAGGAGCCCATATGCCAATAGAGACTGATCAATTCGGTCCAATCAACGATGGTATCATATAAAAACAATTATACTTTATATAAAATTCCTTGATAAGTTAATGTATGATCAGATTGTTCAAAATGTATTGAGCGAATATACATCACATTTCTCGGATAAACTTCACCTTCTTATTACACTGTGCAAATTTATTAAAGGGATTACTTGTTTCACAGAGAGTAACCAGCTTCATATAATCTAGTCCTGAGCACTGATCGAATTCTTTCGATCATTTTCCAATGTGGTCACCAAGTTAGGAAGTTCACTATCACAGCCTACTTTTGATGTTAGTTCCCTGCCAATTGCCTACAACCAACTAACACACACTGAATAACCTAGAAAACCTCATAATAACTACTGTATAAAAATTACAACAGTTTACATTTGACTGAAAAAAACTTGTGAGTAGTCTATCGACTTTGAAGTATTCATCATGGATCCAGGAGAATCATTAAAAATCATGAGGATCTACAGGCGAAAACTAAAAAGTTGACAGAAGAGGCAGGTCAGGGCAGCGAAGACAGGACTTCAAGTGAACGTAAAGAAGACAGAGGTGATGAAGATACCCAACCAACACCACCACCAACAAGCTCCAATCACCATCAACAGGAGAAACTTAATGGAAGTAGCCTCTTTCACCTACCCACCAACTAAGAAGGCAGCATCGTTTCAACTACAGGCAGCGCAGGCACATACGAAGACGTCAAAGCCAGCCAAGATCGGAAACACAGCAAGACAGGCGTTGATTAGCCTGAAACCAGTGTGGAGATCTTCTGCACTGCACTCAGCGTAAAGCGTGAACAACATCCGAATTTCCAACACCAATCCAGTCAAGTCAGTCAGTGCTACCATGTGATGGTTGAGAGACTTGGCGCGTAACTCGAAAAGCATTTCCAACAAACTACAAATATTCATCAACAACTGCCACCCACTCTGGCTCATCGCTGAAGCTCAAATCAGATGATCAGGCTTATAGGAAATAGCAAGAAGGAACTCTGGCTGTCTGGCAAGGAACCAACCAACTAAGAACCTATCGCTGAACAAGTATGAAGAAGGAAGTGGAAGTGGAGATGAATTGGACATGCACTGAGAAGACGGTGTGGGGACATCACCCGGCAGGTCAGGATATTAAGTGGAACCTAGACGGGAAACGATGAGTTGGGCGTGGGAGGTGAGGCTGACATGGAGGAGATGGTGTGAGGAAGAAATGAAAGCCTCTGGGCTGTGATGGAGCCAGGTTGAGAAGATTGCAGAGAAGAGAGTTGAATAGAGACGTGCTACTGAAGCCGTATGTTCCATCAGGAACCCAAGGGACTAATAATAATAGTTAATAATAATAATAATAATAATAATAATAATAATAATAATAACAATAGTAATAATGAATGTTTGTTTATTTTTAGTTAAGGAGTCATCACTAGTTAATGTAGGATTAGTCTCAGAATCATCAACGTTCTTAACAGAAGATTTAAAATTTAGGCAATGAATTTGAATCCAGGGACTTGCATTTTCTAGCTTCCATCAGTTCGTAGGGTCAGGTGAGTCAGTTTCAGTATTGTTGGTGATCAAATGTTTATCTGCCTTCACATTTCACCTGATTGACCCTAGAAGTCATCTCGTATGAAGTCAATGGTGAGCCTAAGGTGATTTTTTTAGCTGATATTGATCTTTCATGGAGTTGAGATTCATTGATCTAGGTACTCGAATTCCGATTAGTGGTTTATGCGTTTGAACCATGCCTTACCTAACTTGGTTTAGGAGCAGCCAGGTAGTTTCATTATCCCTTACGCAGTAGGTCTGGCTCATTACCTACTATTTGGAAGTGTATGTGGTTGGTGTGTGCATTTCGGTTTGAAAAAACGTAAGAATTATAAATACCTGAATCATTTGAGCTAAGTTGACTAATTTTGTTCATCCAGCTCATTTATTGATACTTGTTGTATCTTATAGTAATGATGGATAGTGGTTAGCAGTGGAATCCAGGATGTGCATTTTGTCCTTTTTGGGACTCGTCAGCTGGATGTGCCTGCCTCCCAGGGAGTGATGTTGTTTACTCAGGGATTCGGACTCTGGAGCAGTCGCTTTAAACACCACAGTGTTATTGACTACACTACCGAGCCACGACACCCACTGTAGCCACGATGGCCTTTAATATAATAAGAGCATGGGTAATATCGAGGCATCCTCACAGAAGCTCGTATGCCAATAGAGACTAATCAATTCGGTTCAGTCAATAACAGTACAATACAAGCAGTAATACTAAAACTATACCCGTAACACAAGAAGTGGCTATCGTAGCTCAGTAGTCTAGTGGATAACACTCTGGTGTTCGAGGTAGTCGGTTTCGAGTTGGAATCCGTGTGGGAATAACATCACTCACTGGGGTGAGGGTGCCTCCAGCTGACGAGTCCCAAATAGGAGGAGATGTGCATCCTGGATTCCACTGCTAGCCACTATCCATCATTACTACATAGAATTAAAAGACTGGCAATATCGAGGCATCCATGCAGGAGCCAATATACCAGTAGAGACCGATTGATTCGGTCCAATCAACTGCGGTGAAATGAAAGTTTTGGTCAAGACAGGATTTGAATCGGTGACCACCAGGTTACCAACCGGGAGCTCTACCAACTGAAGTATGAGACTCGACAGCTGATCAGCTCTTAATTTCGCTAGATCATGTGAATACAATCAAGCCATTGTGAATTCATATGATATTTGGTTAAAATCCTTGATGATTGAAGAGAAATTAAGATCTGATCAACAATCGTTTCGCACAGCACACTTAGTGGAGTACTGTTTCAATAACCATGAGATCACTGGTCCGAATCCTATCGCGATTCATATTTTCATTTTAGTTTCAACCACCAATTAATATAAATATATGTTATCATTTAATTGTGAAATCCTGATAATTCTCATTATTTTTGTGTTTTACCACTTGACAATATCAACAACCATCAAAAAACAACAACGACAATTAACAACAACAAATAAAGAGAGAAATTCTAGCTGAAGCACGTACAATGGCTCAATTAAAACATCGTCATATAGTAAGATTAATTGGTAAGTGAAAATTTTCATAAATTTAACTCAGTTTGTTTATCATGTCATCTTCACTTGTTCTTTCTTTGTTTCTATATGATTAAAATAATGAACTTTTTTGAATAGTTGCCATCGAATGACATACCATTAAGATGATTGATTTATGTTTCTCTTCTAGTTTATTATTGTATTTTTCAACTTTTAGCCTTAGTTAAAAAAAATTTTTAAGTAGCGTTATGAACTTGAATGATTGTGGCCAAGACTTTCAGTTATTCTGTCTCTACTTGCCCATCTCTTCTTTATGTTTACGCTATCCTGGAAACTAGTGCTTTGATTATCATTACTTAATGATACCCATTAAATCCTGTTGTTATTCTGAATGGATTTGCTTAACCACTGTCGGCTAATACGCTCCTGTGCGGATGCCTTGTCATACCTTGTAATATGCTTGTTGACGTCTAGCGATGGAATTCAGGAAGCCTGTTTCCTCCTATTTGTTACATATCAGGTAGATGTACTTGCTGGATCCCAGTGAGCAACGTTGCTCTCACTTAGACATGAAATTAGCACCCATGGCTTTGAACGTCAAAGTATCAATCACTAGGTTACTGGGGTAAAAAGAATCCGCTTTCTAGATTCCACTGCCAGCCAAAAAAAACTACTTTCATTGTTATTCAGAAAAATCAGAACCAGTTGGAGAAACACTGGAAACCTGGGAATACTGGGTAGCTAATTCGTCTCAGTATGGAACCCTTCGGTGGTGGACGTCTTTGACCTCACCCTAGACCTCCGGGGTTCCGAGACCAGCACGTTACCTTTGAGACAGTTGGTTCAAATCCAATGGTTTATAATTCCTACTTCTGTCAGTTTATAATATAGCGTGACCTCCATGTTCGATGGTTTCAACCAAGTCGGACATGACGACAGTCACTCAATGATGGCATCGAATGGAGGTCATGCTATTACCAAGAACTAACAGAATTAGAGATTCCGACCAACTAGGTCAATGCTAACGCGCTGTTTGCAAAACCTAAAAGTACTGGCTTCGATCTGTGGCCAGGGGGAGTCATGGGTGATGAGTTCCATACCAGTGTTTCCAGGTTTCCGATGTTTCTTCAGTTTATATCGGTGTATAATGAATACCAACTTGAAACCATATTGTTAAAGTATTATTTGGTAGGTGGTGCTTCGAGCAGTAATTATTTCTGCAGAGAATCAATTATAACACGCCATATTTTAGTCAAATGGCTTTGTACTACATGAGATATTTTGACTTCATCTTGATGTCATAGCTAGAACCGATATGTACATATTCAAAGTCGTATGTATGCATCACCTTTTTATCGTCTAGTTAGTTAAAGATATCCCTCTTTTAATATCTGCTATCTCAACCTGTGTAAGGAAATGTAGACTTCTAGCTTGGAGTCCATATGACAACTTAAATAATTGGTTGACTACTTTAGGTAATGTAGTTTAAGATCTCCATCAATGACATAAATATATTCACGTCTTATCTTTATCCTAATCATCATTTCAAACCTCGATATTTCCATCACTCTCTCCTCTTCTTTACTCATAGCTTTTTGAGATTGTTGATTGTATTTTGACTGAGTTGTGAGGATTTGGAAATATTTCAAGTTGTTATTCACCATAGACTGGCATCAACTGGAAGAACAAAGTAAACCAGGGAGCACTAGACAGCTGTTTCGTCCTAGTATGGGACTCCTCAGCAGTGCGCACCCACGACCCCACCAGGGATCGAACCCGCGACCTTCAGGTTCCGTGGCCAGCACGTTACCATTGAGCTAGCCACTGGGTCATAATCCAATGGTCGATATTTCCAACTTGTGTTAGCCCCCTGGCGGGTTCATGGGTGCGCACTGTTGAGGGTCCCATACTAGGACGTAACAGCTGTCCAGTGCTCCCAGGTTTCCTTTGTTCCTCCAATTGCTGATTGTATTTTTTCCCCTAACTTATTCTCCTACCTCTTATCTGTTTACCTGGTATCTTGATGTTCTGATATAAGTTCTGACAACCTGTCTTGTTACGCCGAAATAGAAGTTGTAAAGTTAGGCACACCTTGAGAGATGTACCAGTAAGTTGTCTGCCGTTTAAGTAACGAAGAGAATCTTTCTATGAGTTGTTGTATTTCATACTTATAAGGTGAATTTCATCAGTTTCCTTTCTTCATTTAACAGATTTCAATGAAATGGTGAATAAATGACATAAATGAAAAAAAACTGTAGATTAAGCAGGTCAACCGGTATGAATTCACATTTTCATCTACGTAACGATAACAGAAGGTTTTGAATATGATGAAGACAGATCAACGAAGGACTGATGTATGATGAATAATAAGTTAATGTGATAAAAAACTGAGGATACAAATGGATTTCAATAATAAAAGCGCATTCAGCCCAGTTGATTACACTGAATTAAGTAAAAAATTGTGTCTTCTGTATGAAATCATTTAAAATAAAATCTACTATTTACTTAGGCACTCCATTTATCATTAGCGAGTCCGCAGGTTTGTTACTGCTACTCACACTACGACAACAACAACAACTACTACTACTCACACTAAAATTATCATCACTACCACTACTACTCACACTACTACTCATACTACTACCCACAATACTACTACTCACACTACTACTACTACTACTACTCACACTACTGCTACTGCTACTCAGACTACTACTACTCACTCTACTATGACTACACACTACTACTACTACTACTCACACTATTACTACTACTGCTACTACCACTACTCACACTACTATCATCATTACTACCACTACTACTCACACTATTACTACCACTACTTCTCACACTACTACTACCACTACCACTACTACTACTAATAATAATAGTAATAATAATAATAACAATAATAGTCGCTTTATTCCAAACAATATGTATGACAGTGTGGAATTCTAAACATGTAATTTTTCAACAAATTCACCCTCAGAACAATACTTTCAGATGAAATGGTTATTGCATCTGCATGATGTTAATAATGTGAAATAGCCAGCTGGTTCTGTCTGGATGAGCACCCGTTTCATAATGAAGAATCAGGAGAAATGCAAACGTCATTTTGGTGGTGGTGGTGGTGGTGGTTCATTCAGACAGTACGAAAATCTACAACTCAAGTTAAGCATCTGACCAATAGAAATATGATGTACATTTTTGCACCGAAAATTACATTTCCATATAATGTGACACTATTTCTCTCCTTTGTTATTGACTCGAGAAACGGAGAATTGGAAACAGTTTAAAAATGTGCTAGAGTCTATGATGTATTCAGTGGATATATTTAAATGATTGAAAGAAATTGGTAGTAAATAATTTGATGAAAAATATTCGATGGATAAATTTAGTAGCGTAAGGTTTAAGCAAGCCGCCTAGATAACTAGATAGTATAAGAAACTCTTACACACTAAGTACGCCTTATAGCTCAGTGCATGATAATAATTTTGCGTTAAATTACACTATTTTCCGGTTTTGCATGATATCATCTTGCTGAACAAACTTGGCTATATATATATATATATATATATATATATATATATATATATATATATATATATATATATATATCCGCTTCAATAATGCTAAATTCTTGTTAATTGATGGGAGTAACATCGCTTACTGGGAGGCAGGTACATCCACCTGACAAGTCACAAATAGAAAGAAAGACGTATCCTAAATTCCACTGTCAGCCACTATCCATCGCTTATATACAACTGAAATACAGACAATATCGAGGCATCCACGCAGGGGCCTATATACCGATAGAGACTTATCAATTCAGTCCGTTCAACGCTGGTATAATACAAGTGACCATATTAATTAGAAGTTCTTTGATACTTTCTTTTGCTAACAAATACTTCCTTTCAACATGTTCAGTGTACTGTTTACAACACTTTAGCATTTGTCGTAGTGATACCTAACTCGATTCTCAATAGGAACAACATGATTCACTGAAGCTCAGTCAGGTACATTCAAGTAATGAGTCCTAAATAGGACGAGATGTTCACTGCGGATTTCACTCCTTGCTATTAAGTGGACTGATACACTGAGTAATTCTGTTTCTTACTTACTTCCTCTCTCTCTCTCTCTATGTACTCTCTTGTTTTATTTTATTTTACAGGTGTATGCAAAGAAGAACAATTTATGCTTGTACTTGAATTAGCACCTTTAGGTCCTATTAATAAATATTTAAAAAGGCGACCGTAAGTTTAAAACTTTCAAAAAACCATCAATTTAAACAAAAATGAAATAAAATTTTAAAGAAATTCATAAATTTTAGTATTTTTATACTAGTCTGTAATTACTTGCATACAATAAAATAAAGGTTTCAAGGAGTATATACACCGTAGGATGACCAATGTCCAACGTCATTCCGTTTGGTTGACTCCCTCGGGTGAGGACTCTTTATTAGAACTTAGAGAAATTCATTTTGAAGCAGGTAACTAATATTTTTCAAGTTGAAGGAACATTGGAAACCAGGGAGCACTGGACGGCTGTCTCGTCCCAGTGTAAGACTTCCCAGCAGTGAGTACCATGACCCCACCCTCCTAACGGGTATCGAACCTAGGACCTTCAGGTTCCATGGCCAGCAAGTTATTTTCCAGCCATTGGGTCAGAATACAGTGATCCATATTTCCAACTTCTGTCAGTTCACGATATAGCTGACTATCACTGAGTGTCATCGTTGGGTATTTGTCCCCATGACCCCCAGATTTGCCCCAGGTCTGCCAATAATAATGATATTAGTAAGTAAGAGTGATAACGAGTGCATCAGCTTTGATGATTGCTTGAGGCAAACAAATATTTCATTTCTCAAAAGGATGAAATACTCAGCTTTTCACTTGAATGTTAAATGATTCATTTTGTTCTGATTATCATAATGCATCTAATCCCTACAATATTTCTAACCAGTTTTGATATTTCTTGACATAATTGCCTACCCCACAGTTCAGTTTTCTACAATCTTACACTAAGAGAATGAAGAGGTATAGTATAATGGTTTGAAGTAAACGAATGTACAGGGTTCATTAGTGACATGCTTTAAGATAGATATGTTGAGGTTTTAATGAGATGCTATAGCCAATAGACTGAACTTACTAACTAAAGATATTAGTAGATAATCGGGCTAACTAAGAGAAGTAGGGAACAATGGATCATTGAACTTTGACCTAGTGATGGAATGATTAGCGCATTTCCTGTGAAACCTTAACGTTCTTAGTTCGATCTCTGATAGAGGAGAGTGTCATGGGTGCATACTACTGAGGGGTGGTATACTAGGATGATACAACTGTCCAATGCTTTCAAGTTTTCAATGGTTCTCCAACTAATGTCATTCAATGATAAAAGTACAACCTTGAAAACCATAACATGAGTGTTATTTAAAACATTATATCATAAAAATACTGAAGTCTGTGTTCATAGCTTAAACTGGTAGTGAATGACAGTCAACTAGGAACCTCTTAGTAATTCCAAGTAATTGTTTGTAGATTGAAGTAAGAATTAACGTAAACGTTTTTTCACACAAATTAACTCGTTAGCAGATGCAATCCTATTCACTTATGAATAAGAAAGTGAAGAAGTCGAATTACCTTTTTTAGATCGTAAAGCCAACAGGACAGAAGATGGAAATTTAGAGAACAAACACATTCGAATAGATGAATGGATTTCACATCATACCCTGTATGTATCAAGATAGGCTTGATAAAATATCCATGTAATTGAGCTAGGAGCTTGAGTGGTAAGTCAGAAAACCTAAAGGAGGAAATTAAACACATCAAAGAGACAACACTTCTTAATAACTACCCTCCAAAATGTACTCAGACGTTTGTAAGGACTGATAAGAGAAGTAGTGGCACTATTAGTAATGATTGAGACACGTCTAAGAGGGAATTCAAATCCTCTCCGGAGTTGCCATATCACGAAGCCGCATTGAAACATTTATGCAGGATTCTTAACAATGCTGAGATTAGGGTGACATTTAAACCAACGAACTCACCTAGAGGGAAAATTTGCAGGCTAAGAGATCCGGCAGAGCCAACTGAGAACAACAAGTTAATCTATCAAATACCATGTAATGACTGTCAGGTCATGTTTATAGGTGGAAGCAGCTGATTGGGGTCTATCAGAATGTTACAGTACAAGAATTTAGCCAAACATACAATGAGCAAACCTCATTAAGATAAGTAATTTAGAGAAAAACTAGGTTATCGCTCTGCATGCACTGATCCATAATCACACCAACGAAGTAGTGAGATCGGGTGGAAATCCTACAATCCAATATATCTAGATAGGTGGATGGAGAGACTGATCATGGAATCTTTGTTCATTGATTCAACCAGGACGTAATTCCTGTGATAGGACTGATTCGTCATATAATGCAGATATATTGAGAATTTCACAGGCATTGAAATGAAATAACGAATGAAGAAGTGTTGAACTATATGAATGAATTTTAAAGATCGTTCAGTCGGGTTTGATATGAATATGACCAATAATCTGTGATCAAAACATCATCCAGTAAATGATACTGTACCATTGATTGAGATGATGGGGAATATTTGTAGTTCAGGTGGATAATTTTGATGATGAGAATGATCATTAAATCATGGAGCTTTCATTGTTATTCAGGTCAAAGAACAGAACATTATCAAAATGTATCACTGTGAGCTATATTCTAGCAAGTGGAAGATTATTGAAACATAAGTTCGATGACATGTTAGATTATTCATTTCTCAGACAATTTCATATCTTTTAAGCTGTCACTGAGATTCAAATTGGCACAGAGATGAATTTTTTAGAAGATTCATCTCATTACGTACTTTATGAGAGGTTACTTAACCGCTTCGTTCTTGGATAATAAAAAGATTATCTAACATCATTTACTGGTAGTAAATGTTTATTTCAGGAGACTGAAGTGATAAGTCTTTCTTCTGTTATGGGCTTTTTGAACGAATGCCTTAGTAGTGCTTCAAGTTTCAGTATAATACAGTTTCTTTGATAGTGGCTGGCTTTGAGATCCAGAATCAATAAATAGTAACTAATTATCGTTACTAATTATCCAGTTAATTCTTACTGAAACACACAGCTTCACTACTACGTCACCACTTCACTCTCTTCTCTCAAATCCATTCAACCTGGATCCACCACTCCTTATTACCTTTCATTTCTTATTCACACCATCTCCTCGCTTCATACGCACAACTCGTCCATGTCAAATCCAATCCAATCCAACCCATCTACACTTTCTTCTCCTGCATATTCGTGCAGCGACAGGTTATTGATTCTTATTATTCTCGCCATCCATCACATCAATCTTCAGTGTCAGTATCGAGTGAGCGTAGGTGGCAGCTGTTGACCATGTATGTCTTCAGTTGTTTGTTGGAAATGCTTTTAGTGTTACGCGTCGCCAAGTCTCTCAACGACCACATGGAAGCACTGACTAACTTGACTTGATTAGTGTTTAAAATCGGAATTTTGTTCCGGCTTTATACTGAGTGGAGTGCGGTGTAGTGTAGTGGAGTGCAGGGCAGTTCAGTGCATTGCAGTGCAGTAGATCTCCACACTGATTTCAAATTAATGAAGGTCTATATTGCTGTCTTTCCGATCCTGGCTGGCTTTAACGTTTTCATCTGTGCCTGTTCCACCTGTAGTTGAGACGATGCTGTAAAGGTGGGTAGGCGGGTAAGTAGGTAGGCGGAGGAGACAACTTCTGTTAGATTTCTTCGTTCATGGTATCTGGTGATTGTTGTTGATTGGTTGGTTGGCTGGTTGGGTATCTTCATCATCTCCACCTCTTCTTCTCTACGTTCACCGGGTGGAAGTGTGGTCTTCCTTCGCTATCCTCCTTCTACTGTCAACTTGTTGGTTTTCGCCTGTAGATCTTCGAGTTTGTACGACATTAGACATAAGTCATCAGCATCGTTGGCAACATCCAAATTTTCTTCTATGGTCTTTTCATCAGTCAGACAGCATGTGTCCATCTTTTCACAGTTCCTTACAGTTTTGTGCATGATCCAGTCCACAATTAGTAACTAATACACTTTGAATAGTAAGTGACTAACATGCTTCAATAGTGTAGTGCTCAGTGTTCTGGCACCTGGTGTGACGAATACTTTGTTTCAATGAAGACACCGTCATTCACTCACCCATTCACTCAACTGACGAAACCTAAATAGGACGAAACATATTTCTGGATTCTATTGCTAACCCTTACTAAATATTTTTCATTTTTTGAAATATTATTAACATTAAAAAAAAATGCTTATTGAGTTCTGGTTTTGATAATGTCAAGTTATTCTTTGTTCATATTCATTTCACTTCAAGTTATTATTTCCTTTCTTTTCTTTTTTTTTTCTTCTTTTATCATCTTCTTGTTGAAGTGATGTAAGTGTACACACTTTAACTGAATTAATGCATCAAGTTGCTTTGGGTATGGCTTATTTAGAATCGTGTAAATTTGTACATCGTGATTTAGCTGCTCGTAATGTCCTATTGGTTACACGTCATTTTGCAAAGATTAGTGATTTTGGTATGAGTAAAGCATTAAATTTTGGTAGTGATTATTATCGGGTAAGTGAAATCATAGGATTGCTTAAAAAAATAATTTACATATTATACTTTTATTCATTTATTATAATATTATAATTAAATTTTATATCGATGAGAAACAGTACAACTTTGAGCTATTACGATTCTTTAATAATACTCATACTACTTAGCATATAAATAACGGAAAGACTGTATATAGTTAATTACAAGTGCCACTTTTAGACGATATTCAGTTGAGTGTATTACAGAAAGATAATTTATAAGTAGAATTCATCATGGACTGACATCAGTTGGGGGACCATTGAAAATCTGGGAGCATTGGACAGCTGTTTCGTCCACCTAGTATGGGACTCCTTAACAGTACGCACCCACGACCCGGTTAGAGATCGAACTCACGATCTTCAGGTTTCACGGCAAATGCGTTAATCATTCAGCTACTGTGTGGGTTTCCAATGGTTCACAATTTTCAACCTCTGTCAGTTCAAGACATAGTGTGACTATCACCCAAGGTCTTTAGTTAACATGCACTTCACTTCTGACTGGTTGACCCCACAGGTCACGACTTCTCATTAGAGCTTCGTGATATTCATCTGGAGGCAAATAGGCGCGTACTGCTGAGGAGTCCTATACTAGGACTAAACACATCACTAATGTATAAATTATCACATTTCGGTGTAAGAAGCGAAACAAGTATATTTCTGAAACTGTTAACTCTAGTTAGAAGGACTGTGGAAGATCCTTGGATTTTTTAGGTGGTTGGAGGCAATCGACAGGAAGCCCTGCCTCACCTAGGTTTCCTACTTTTTGGCACTCGTCACCAAGGCGTATCTACAACCTGATGTCCCGCGTCAAATTCGATCCCGCGTCACCCAGTGTTGTAGTCAGCAACTTGGATCTCGCTTTTCTCAAAATATACTTTATTCCTGAAGTTACTAAATAACAATAAGAATTCAAGCATACTGAATTATATAACTGGTCTTTGTTAACGCAGTTAAATAAACTATTTGTGCAAATTTATCAGTGTAACAATTTCTTTATGACATCGAATTCATTCTCAGTAATCGGTATCGAAGAAGACAGTAAACAGTTGTGATTTTGTGGTAAACACATATGTCAATAAATGTTTGACTATTCAATTAAAACTCACTTTAAATGAGAATGTTAATTGAGTTTACAACTACTACAGCTGACTAACTAGCTTCTCACTAACATTATCCTTAGAATTACGGCTAGTAGTGTATTCATACATTGATTTGGATTATTCAGTTACCTGCCTTATTCATGTACTTTAATAAGGCTGATAACTTGTCGTCTGATATATGTTATTTCCTGTTTATATACACGGTTAAGTTGTTTGAACTTTGTTGGCACATGGACTACGAAGTGAATTATTATTATTTGTCCCTTGGGTTTCTAGTGGAACATACGACTTCAGTAGCACGTCGCCATAACACTCTCTTCTACGCAATCTTTTCAACCTGGCTCCACCACTGCCCACAAGCTCTTATTTCTTCCTCACATGATCTCCTCCATGTCACCCTCACCTCCCACACCCAACTCGCCGTTTCCCATCCAGGTTCCACTCAATATCCTGACCTGCCGAGTGATGTCCACACACCGTCTTCTCAGTGCATGTCCAATCTATCTCTACTTCCTTCCTCTCTACATTTGTTGAGCGATAGGTTCTTGGTTGGTTGGCTCGTTGCCAGACAGCCAGCCAGAATTCCTCCTTCCTTATTCTTATTATTCTCGCCATCTAATCTGAGCTTCAGTAATGAGCCAGAGTAGGTGGCAGTTGTTGATGAATATCTGTAGTTTGTTGGAAATGCCTTTCGTGACGCACCAACTCTCTTAACGATCACATAGGAGCACTGACTTGACTGAATTGGTGTTGAAAATCCGAATGTTGTTCACGCTTTATGCTGAGTGCAGAAGATCTCCACATTGGTTTCAGGTTAATGAACGCCTGTCATGCTCTTCCGATCCGAAGTGAATACAAAGCTGATAACTTATCTATTTAAGAGAAACTTAGATGGTGGTGGTGGTGATGGTTCATTCAGACAGTACGAAAATCTACAACTCAAGTTAAGCATCTGACCAATAGAAATATGATGTACATTTTTGCACCAAAAATTACATTTCCATATAATGTGACACTATTTCTCTCCTTTGTTATTGACTCGAGAAACGGAGAATTGGAAACAGTTTAAAGTGTGCCCGAGTCTATGATGTATTCAGTGGATATATTTAAATGATTGAAAGAAATTGGTAGTAAATAATTTGATGAAAAATATTCGATGGATAAATTTAGTAGCATAAGGTTTAGGCAGGCCGCCAATCACAAATACATCACGTGAAAGGAAATAATACAGCAATACTATGCAGATAAGTAAAGGGGAGAGATGGAAAGATATTAAGCTAAAACAATGCTCTGACATGCTTTCACATGTCATCATATAATCCATTTTGGCCTAAATTCTTAGTATGGTCACTTTGGGCCTTACATTAAAGTCATGATTCACCGTAGATATCCATCTTCAAACCAGTTTCTATGAGATTAATATTGAACGGCACTAAAACACACTCCGCAACAAGTATAGAAAATGTCCAAATCATCGAATCCGGCATTTAAAATTGCTTCCTCACGGTTACTGTTGGATTTCAGTAGTACTATAGAGAGACAGGTGATTACAGAGAAGATGGATACAAAGAAGAACTAAAAATTACTTCATCCCTTTTAAAACTCCTTGATTGGTCACTTTAGAAAAATCAGTTTCATGTTATCTGTTCTCAATTATCGATTGAATTTTATCGGTCATTCTTTAGTTAGATGGGTGCAACTGGGAGGAAACTCTGGATCAAGGTTCTATGTCTGTTGCTAGTCATCAGCAAGACGTATCTGAAATCTGGATGGCACTGATGTCCTGTCTGTAATTCAGACGCAATCCATCCAATGCTATAGTGAGATATTTGGGCCACGACAGTACTGCTTTAAGTACTCTGATGAGTCACTAAAGGTTAACAACATTCTTCAGTTATCACGCCATCGCACCATGATCAATTTGCCAAACTTGGTCTATTGATGATGATCTCACTGAACAATATTACGCTATTATTTCTCGGCAGCTACATTACTTCTTTTATAAGTAGTGGACTGCTCTCTAAATGAAATATCGTTCATGTTATTGTAATTACTTTATTCCATCAAATATATGTATGGTGCTTTTCAACGGTTTATAAATCTTACCAAATAGACTGAAAAGTTAGGTTTTTAGAATGTTAATGTTTAAAGTATTGCCAACTAGACGTCGAAAAGAAGTCCAAAACCTTCTGAAGACATTCAAAGCTGCTCATTGCTGAAATATCATATGATCATACACATGAATATCAGATTAATCAGAGTAAATCGGAAGGAAATGCCCTTCTAGAAACGTTTGGACTTAATCAAGGCCTGCTTTTTATTTGGTCCTAATGCTGACAATTCAGTATGTGACAGCCTTATTGTTTACCGGTTGGTGACCATTTTTGCTGATACAATGCGTTCTTAAAGAGATTCTATCATCATCTGAGTACGATGATGGTAAAGTTTTAGAATAAGTGTTACAGGCTGAACCAGAAAACATTGAGTTTGTAATGAGTGCAAATCCACTATTTGGATAACTTTTGAAAAGTATAAAGCTTTGACAAGGAAGATTTCTCTGTTGACTGACTTATAATATCCAACACAAATGAGTTTTACTAGTTCTTCTTCTGGCACTACTCCGTATATCAGTTTGACTATGTATGATGACCACAATCTGGTACTGTTGTGTTGTTGATGCTGAATTGGGGTAGGATTCAAACCAGTGAACTCCAGATTACAGGCTACGAGACCCAACTATTGACCACATCTTAATTTCTCTTCAGTCACCAAGTGTTTTCCCTACTACCATGTGAATTCTTGATCCCTAAGTGCGCGTTCGTCGTATTCACTCTGGCTTCTTAGCCAGGATTTCTTATCCTAATCCAAATCGAAAAAAATCGGAGACAGAGGTTATCATACCGATAGTCAGGTTGTCTTTTTGAGATAGCCGTGACTTGATAGACTTGTATTATTGATACTGGCCGATATTTGGCAGCGAGATGAAAGTCTTCGTAGTGGCTGATTATACTTCGCATATCTTTTTAAGTCTAATGCTAACAGGTCACCGAACTTCATACAAGCATACAAAGAACAAGTGTATAGTAAACGAACGATATCAAACTAGACAGAGTGGTGTGAGAGGATAAGCAATTTGAAGACAAAGGATAGTGTGAATATTCAAGCCTCAGAAGGTGATAATGAGCGAATGTATCTATGCTACTGTGACTGATTTTCTACCATGTTACCAAGAGTCAGTCCTCAACCACTGCTTCCTTCGATCCCTAGGACACCAGCCAGGGAGTCCACATCTCTTGACATGGCTCAGGCCAACAGTTAGGGACCTCATGGGCTGGTGCAAGGTCTTGTTCTGACTACCCTAAACCTTTTCTCAATTTAATCTAATTTGTCCTAGTATGGCACGTTGAGGTAGGCGGTGCCTTGGCATATGCAGTACATGTCCAAGCCATCTCAGTCAATGAATGTTCATAACATTACAGACTAACCCATTTATCTTGTCTACTACCCATCTCTTGACCTCAACATTGATCACATAGTGATTCCATCAAACACGAGCAGCGCTATGAAGACAATCATGGTCAAATACCTGTAACCGCTTGATATCTTCAACTTTTAACGGCCAAGTCTCACAGTCGTACAGAATGACAGAAGCAACTACAGTGCAGTATACTTATCCTTTGGTAGGTAGTCGGATATCTTGCCAGCTGGCACCAAAGATGATACAAGTTAGTAATTACTAAATGAGCTTTCATTATCCAAAGTGAGATTTCGTCAATAACCAACCCGTTTAGGCTGAATTATCTAAATCACAATTCGTTTTCATTAAGAAAAGGACTGTAGTTGACCACTCTTCATTCCAACCACCAAAAGATTATCCACTAATCATTGTAAAACAGACATAGTTTGATAGTAGATCTCAGAAACTAAGAAGAGAAACGAACTGGTCTCTTCTGCTTCCATTTTTCACCTTTCTGTTTTATTTGTACTCTTCATTTCATTATAACAGGCAGCAACTGCTGGTAAATGGCCATTAAAATGGTATGCACCTGAGTGTATATATTATTTTCGATTCGATTCAAAATCTGATGTATGGAGTTATGGAATAACTTTGTGGGAAGTTTATTCTTATGGTGAACGACCATACAGGGTAAGTGAAACTTATAGCTATAATCGATTGTATTTATTTCAGAAATATATGTGTTATTACTATTCTTATGATTATTATTTATCCTTTGGGTTCCTAGTGGAACAGAGCTTCAGTAGCACGCCGCCATTCCACTATGTTCTGTACAATCTTTTATACATGGCTCCACCACTGCCCACAACCTCTCATTTCCCCCTCACACCATCTCCTCCATGTCACACTCGCCATGAACGACCAACTCGTCGTTTCCCATTTGGATTCAACCCTACGACCTGGCCTGACGCGTGATGTCCACACACCGCCTTCTCAGTGCATGTCCAATCCATCTCCACTTCCACTTCCTTCTTCATACTTGTTCAGCGATAGGTTCTTGGTTGGTTGGTTCGTTGCCAGCCAGCCAGCCAGAGTTCCTTCTTACCATTTCCTATTATTCTGACCATCTGATTTGAGCTTCAGTAATGAGCCAGCGTAGGTGTCAGTTATTGATGAATATCTGTAGTTTGTTGGAAATGCTTTTCGAGTTACGCGCCAAGTCTCTCAACCATCATATGGAAGCACTGACTGACTTGACTGGATTGGTGTTGAAAATCCGAATGTTGTTGACGCTTTATACTGAGTGGAGTGCAGTGCAGAAGATCTCCACATTGGTTTCAGGTTAATGAATGCCTATCTTGCTGTATTTCCGATCCTGACTGGCTTTGACGCCTTCGTCTGTGCCTGTACCGCCACCTGTAGTTTGAAACGATGCTGCTTTCTTAGTTGGTGGGTAGGTGAAAGAGGCTACTTCCTTTTAGTTTCTCCTGTTGATGGTGATTGGAACTTGTTGTTATTGTTGGCGTTGACTAGATATCATCATCATCATCATCAGCAGCATCAGCATCATCATCTCTGTCTTCTCTAAGTTCACAGAAATATGCATATACGTATGTAAATTTATTGATGATTGATACTTATGTGATTTGATTAGAGTGTTAAACAGACAAAAACTCCAGATATTTTGGCTTGTAATATATCCCAACATTGGCTGATTTCAATTGATTGACTATTGTTAGGAATTACAAGCTACGACATTCAAACTCTCCTATACTTGTCACACAAGGATTGTAACTAGTACATAATACTCTGGGGTTTTAACCGATTTGTTGTAGTTTCGAGTTTCAGTGAGGCTAACATCACTTATACGGCTCAAGTACACTCAGATGACGAGTTCCGGATAGGATTAAACACATGTTCTAGATACTAGACAATAGAGTATATAACCGATATATATATATATATATATATATATATATATATATATATATATATATCACCCATGATATTCCTGATTGTAGTGGACTGGATCGTGCAACAGACCGTAAGGAGCGAGAAGATGGGGGTAGGCTAGACCAAAGGAAAGACCCCAGAAGGAGATTTGGATTTCGCCAACGATGACTTGTCTGATATCTTATATCGCACAAACTCGAAGATCTACAGGCGAAAACTAACAAGTTGATAGAAGAGGTACGGCAGGTCAGGTCAGGGCAGCGAAGACGACACTTCAAGTGAATGTAGAGAAGACAGAGGTGATGAAAATTCCCAATAAACGCCACCACCACCACCACCACCAACAACAACAAGAACAGCAACAGCAACAACAAGCACCAATCACCATCAACAGGAGAAACTTAATGGAAGTAGCTTCTTTCACTTACCCAACAACTAGGCAGGCAGCATCGTTCCAACTACAGGCAGTGGCACATACACACACGAGGATGTCAAAGTCAGTCAGGATCGGAAACACAGCAAGATAGACGTTCATTAACCTTAATGAACCCTGAATGGATGATGATATCAAAATAGTAACGGGAGAATAATAGTGGAAAATGGATATTCATTGAAGTTCATAAATCTCTGCAAAATCAGCCAGGATTCAAACCTCATCTGTACTCAGTTTCGAAGAAATACGTGTACATCACGTTAACGTACAAAGGAGAATCTAACAGTATAATATTAAAACGAAGGTTAAGGTCTGCTATTAGCAAAATGTACTATGCAGCTAAGCTTATTGTCGTTGAGATGACCAAATACATGCTGTAACATAAACCTCAATGATGTATAAACGATTGCGTCACATCTCACTGAGTTTATAAATTTGAAGAGATTGAAAATTACATCATTTTTGAAGCAAGATAAATGAATATCAATTAAGAAGCTTATTAACAGTGTAAGACTAAAGAAGGTTAGAGTAATAGTAGAACGATAACAGTGATATTGATGATGGAGATAAATGATTTGACCAGTGAACGAAGAAGTTCAAGAAGACAATGATATTACAAGAGAATGATAGTGAAGCATGAAATATTTGCATTGTATAAGAAGAAATAAAGTGGAAAAAGTAAGATCAATTCAAAATATTTTAACATATCTACCATAGTAGATTCAGAGTGACAATCATCTCTTCCGTGTAAACATAGACTCAGTTTATGAACTCTAATCTTATATGCTTTCATAATTGAAAGCCTTTTGCTTATTCCCCTGTCTGCTGACAATCGAGAAGGCTTTAGTTATGTCAATATTCATATTCGTATTGTTAAAATTCTCATTATCATCATTCACTCTGATTATTACTAGTATAATCAATAGTTTTATTTATCTAACACTTATGTTCTCCTCTTAGTGTACACCTTTATCAAGCTATCTAGTTGACTATAGAAATGATATAGTCTATTCTTAGTTCCCAATATTTTTCATTATTAATTCACTATCCCTCTCCCAACCTAATGTTAACTATGTTTGACATAAGTAAATGATTCTCTGTGTAATGAGAAAACGAAGATCATCTCATTATGCTGTTTACATTTATCAAAGGGATGAGTTGCTTTAGATTCCCTGAATGTTGTCATGCCTCAGTGAATATCTTAGTCGGCTGTATTATCTATGAATGTATTCGTTAATTGGACAATATAATATAAACTTATGTTTGTAAAGTGAATTGCTTATGAGTCCTACTGATATTTATGAATTGAAGAAATCCTGCATAAAATATGAGCTAAATTCTTTCTAGTTCATCAGTGATTAACTCGACTTTAAACAAGTAAAAGAGTTCTGCGATGTTTAGACTACTCTGTGTGAAATGAGTATAAAAAGTAAACAGTGTTTTCTTCCAAGTTGTTATTCATCGTAGACTGATATCAGCTGGAGGAACAAAGGAAACCTGGGAGCACTGGATAGCTGTTTCGTCCACCTAGTATGGGACTCCTTAGCACTGCGCACCCGCTACCTTCGGGTTCCGTGGCCAGCGCCTTACCATTGAGCCAGCCACTGGGTCAGAATCCAATGCGCCATATTTCCAACTTCTGTTAGCTCACCAACTGGTGATCATTGGTGACTAGCTTCAAGAAGTATTGCTGAAGTTCCAATGAGAAGTGGTGACCGATGGAGTCAAGCCAGATGGTTGTGAGGACAGTTATTCAACGATGACATTGGTTGGCAGTCCCCCTATATGGTGAGCTAACAGAAGTTGGAAATATGAAGCATTGGATTCTGACCCAGTGGCTAGCCCAATGGTAAGGTGCTGGCCGCGGAACCTGAAGGTCACGGGTTCTGTCCCTGGCGAGGTCGTGGGTGCGCACTACTGAGCAGTCTCATACTAGGTGGACGAAACAGCTGTTCAGTGCTCATAGGTTTCCTTTGTTCCTTCAACTGATGTCAGTCTACTATGAATGACAACTTGAAATATTTCCAAATGTCCACAACTTCCTCAGAATGTTTTTCTTGTCTCTTTTATTGTTGTCATTAATAACATTATGATTATTCTTTTAGGATATGAAAGGTGCACAAATATTGGCTATGCTGGATCAAGGTCTTCGATTATCACGACCTAGCCGATGTCCTGAATCAATATACAGTGTTATGCAACAATGTTGGAATTTTGAAGGGTACACAGGCCAACATTTGCTGAACTTGTTCTTACAATATCACGTATTCTTAAAGCAATGCCATCGCCTCAAACAGCTGTATGCATTCCTAATCACAATAACAACTTTAGTATTAATAGTAATAATAATAATAATGGTGTTAGTAGTAACAATATTCATTGTCATAATGGTATGACGTTGGGTAATATGACATCTAAACTTGATCATCTTCATTCCCCAACACATCAACACAACACTACTAACAATGCTACTGGTACTTCTGCTTCTGCTACTACTACTACTACAACTTCTACTACTACTACTACTACTACTACTACTACGAGTAATAATAATGGTGGTAATGCTGGCTTACAACCGATTGAATTCAGTCCAACAAGGCGTATTGGTGGAATTGGAACTAGTACTAGTTCTGGTGGAAGTGGAGTGAACAGTGGTGGAAGTGATGGCATTTCGTTTTAAATAATAATAATAATAATAATGATAATATTTTTATTTCATATTTTCTACTATTTATTTCATGATTCTACTATATAATAAATTAGTGGAACATATATGAAACACCAAACAATGAAAGTGTACATCATAGACATATTAAAAAGATTTACAAACAGATAAATATATACAGATGAATTTGGCTTTGTTACACTAACAACTGGAATGAGAGTTATTACGTTTATACTACTACTACTACTACTACTACTACTACTACTACTACTACTACTACTACTACTACTACTACTACTACTACTACTACTACTACTACCACTACTACTACTACTACTACTACTACTACTACTACTACTACTACTACTACTACTACTACTACTACTACTACCACTACTACTACTACTACTACTACTACTACTACTACTACTACTACTACTACTACTACTACTACTACTACTACTACTACCACTACTACTACTACTACTACTACTACTACTACTACTACTACCACTACTACTACTACTACTACTACCAATACTACTACTACTACTACTACTACTACTACTACTACTACTACCACTACTACTACTACTACTACTACCAATACTACTGATAATGATGGTATTCTTGCTTCTTAAACACCCTTTTTTTTGTTTCTCTTCTTTTTGTCATTGTTGAACATTTTGTCAATAGAACAAGCAATAAAAATGTGTACATTTACCTATTGTTTTTGATTTTTGTAATGATTCTAAAGAAACATTATTATATGGGCCTTTTTGTTTTATCTCATATTGAACATTGAATCATTTTCTCCTCTTTTCTTTTCTTTTTTTAATCGAATCAATTTTGTTTATAAGTAAATCTAGGTGACCTTGTCATTTGTGTTACACTTGATATTTATTTATTCACAGATGATTATAATACTAAATGATATTACACCATAGATACTAAAATATTTTCATGACTAAGATTTATGCCTAGACTAACCTGAATTGTTACCAGAAAAAGGATTATACTAGACTGTTATATATACATATATATATTTGTGTTTTGCCTTTTTAGTACACAACTGATGAGCCTTTTTTGTTTTCAAGACAAAAGAGAATATTTTATTGTGTAAAAATAAAGCATGACTTAATTGTTTCTTGATTTTGTCTTCTCTATGTTCACTTCTTTTTTTGTTTCTTTTCATTTTATATATTGTGATTTTTATTTTGGTCGAATGTTATCCATGTTGACAGTATGTATTATTGTCCTCTATCATTATCATTGTGACTAACCTTCTTCTTCTTCTTTTTTTTTCTCTCTCTCTCTCTCTCTTACTAATACTATTGTCAATATGACTATCACTTTTGTATTGATTTTTCCCAATTGGTGCCTAATTCATTCATTCATTCATTCATTTATTCATCATTACATTGGAATAAATTGGGTGAGTATTGAAAAATCTATTTCAGAATAAATCAACAATTTATGCGTTCCCTTTTTTCCCATTATATCTATGCAAGTGGACAAAAAATGAGCCTATTCTAGATATCTTTATATTATATTGGACAATGCATTTACTAGTAGAACTACAAAGACTCTGATAACTATGTGATTCTACTTAATTTCCTTATGTTCTGCTTGCTGCTTTTTTCTTTTCTCAGTCACTTGTTTCAAGTTCTTTTTTTTTGTTCTTCAAATGAATAAAACTTTATCTTGAAAAATAATAAGTAATGTTTGATTTTTTTCAGCTTAAAATTTGATGCTACTATAGTTATTATTATTGTTGTTGTTGTGGTGGTGGTGGTGGTGGCGGTGATTGTCGTGGTCGCCTTGATCCCTGTTCCCCTACTCCCTCATCTACTCTTTTTCACCTCCTATACTTTTTCTTTTTATATGAATGAATAGGTAATCAAATCAGAGAGAGAAAGAAAGGAGTAAAACACAAATAACATTTTGTACAAAAAAGTATATACTTATTACAATTATTCAGACTGATCATTCTTCTTAATTTTCAATTTTATTTACAATAAGTTAATGAAATTGAAGGAGATGATGATGACGTTTATTCATGTTATTGTATAAACTGCTTCATTTCTATCCTCTTGTATAGTTACTTTTTAAGTAAGACCAATCATTACAATAGGCAAATAGTTAGTTATGTGGGATTCTCTGTCTAGTAGGATATGATCTCTAATGGTAAAATGGAAGTGACTGATAGAATAATAAGGAATACGAGAATGCTACTAACCCAATAAGACACTTAAACTGGATACGATTATTGATTGTTTTCTTCTACGACCTGATACTTCAGTGTTCTGTAAAAATTATCCTGTGACTGTAAGGGATACAATTTTATACAGTTTCTCTGTTAGATCAAAAGTTGGATAGTTATTTTGATTGGTTGACTGTAGGATAAAATCGCCCAATCAGGTTTATCCAGACCACACAGTAACAAGAAACAAAGGTTGAAATCCGCACTTTTACCATAGTAGCTGATAATATAGAATGTAAATTTAGATTGAGGTCGCATCCTATCACAGTAATAAATCACCGATTCAACTCTTCGACTTTCAAGCCATGAGTCTGTAGTTCAAAACCATCACTCCGTCGACCAGAATTTGTTTAACTATTGAGTGATATAATCCTTTATTTAATATCTAACTCATAGCCTAGTACATAAGGCATATGACCCTACTTCCAGTTGCATTATATATATATATATATATATATATATATATATATATATATATATATATATAGCATAACTGGAACATTTTGACTATATCAAATCACCATATTTTGGCAGACTAGTATTTATACTGAATGATGATGAAAGGTGGCATGAAAGTGTGAACCACAGTGGGATTCAGTCCAGTGACCTACGGATTTCCGGGTGCTGTACCAACTGAGCTACGAGGTAAACCATCAGGCCGGATACTCGGTGGTCGACGGTGCAGATCCGTCCATGGTCAAAATTTTCATTTCACCTTCAACCAGTACTTAGTATAACTAGAACAACAAATTTTGGAGACTGCGATGAATTCACTGTGCATTTTATCGCCTTCTTTTCGTTTGCATACAGGCCATAAGATCATAAGATACGTTCACAGACGAATGAAATCCACATACCTTGCTTATCAAAAGGATGACAGTTTGTTGTTGAGAGATAATGCACGAACTGATACAGGATAAAAAAGTTTTGCATGGGTTAAGATCAAGTTGACCTAGAGTAGATAGTAAAATTGTGGGAACGTAATAAGAATTTAGTTTGAGATTTGTGAGAATTTTATTTTTATGAACTGATGTCAGTTGAAGAGTCATTGAAAAGCTGCTGACACTGACCCCTCCCCCCTGTCACGCCTGTTTTCTCCTACTGTAGGACTCTTGAGCACTGTGTATCCACAACTTTGTCAACAATCGAACCCATAACCTTGAAAACAAAATCCTTGTAAACCTCGAATTAGATTAGTGTCTAGTGTTAATTAAGAATATGATTAAAGATGGATATCTGGAAGTTTGAGTGACAAATCGTGACAGATGAGGTTAGCCAAGTCAGAAGTTAAATGAGTGTCAACTGAAGACCTCGGTGGATAGTTAAACCTTATCCCGAATTGACAGAAGTAGGAAACTGGTGACCACCTATTTCTGACCACGTGGCTGAATGGTTAGCGTGTTCGCCGTAAAACCTGAAGGTTTTCAATCGAATCCCTGGCGTAGATGTGAATATGCACTACTGATGAGTGGTACAGTAATACAAAATAGCTGTCCAAAGCTTCAAGGTCTTTGAAGGTTCTCCAAGCGATGTCACTCCATGATGATACAATGTAAAAAATGAAATCCCTATAAGCTATAAACTACTTTATCTTTTTCTGCTACGAATAGCCCTTCTTTATCTGTTCACTTCCAGTTTGTCTGCTAAGCAGCTGGATATATTATGCTAAATAAGGGTAGTTTATCATATAAACTGTTTACTTCAACAGAAGTTATGGACACATTGTATTAGTTCAACAAAATAGACGAACATTATCCAAATGGGACAATATCACGATATGGAGAAATCTTTAGACACGGTCATGAATTAAATTAAGAAGTCTACAGCCAATCTGATACACCGACTAAAGTCATCTCTAGGTGAGTATAAATGGCTTAAATTAATACCCGAAACTAATAATCCTAGCGGAATTCATGGTAGCATTAACGTTGACAAACCAGGTCATCCCATTACACGCATACTTGACTTCAGAAATACCCCAACATATGAACTAGCAAAGTAATTAGCATCGATATTATGTCCTATTACGAACCGTTCAAATTCCAGACTAGTAAACACCTACGAGTTAAAATTAAGGCTGAATGACTTACACATAGGAGAGAATGAAATATGGTTAGCTTCGATGTATTAAGTCTTTATACTAAAATACTAATCAATATGGCACTGGAGGCAGTCAGAAGTCAACTAAATATTGACTCAGAACTTAATCAGTGAACTACGATATCGGTTGATGAGGTCATATTAGACGCACAGTTGTGCCTGACCTCAACAGTCTTCAAATTTCAGGACAAAATATGCAGACAAACAGAAGGAGTGGTTCACAATTTCCAACTTCTGTCAATTCACGACATAACGCGACTGTCACCCAAGGTCTTCAGTTAGCATCCACTTCACTTCCGACTGGTTGACCCCGCAGGTCATGGCTTCTCATTACTGCTGAGGAATCCCATACTAGGACGAAATAGCTGTCCAGTGCTCCCAGATTTGCAGTGGTTCCCCAACTGATGTCAGCCCATTATGAATACTAGTTCTGAATTAAAAATCCCCATTCATCTCAAAAATACAGTAAACAGAAGGAGTAACAATGGGATCCACAACGTATCCAATCGTACATAGTAGATACGCTTATGGATAGTTGGGGGAACATGGTTTTACAGACGTTTAGTCCTGCACCAAAAATATGGTGGCGATATGTGGATAACACATTCACTGTGTTGAAATCAAAACATATCGACAATTCCCTCACACATATAAACTCAGTAGTAGGCGCAATCCAATTACTTACAGGAAGGTAAAGAATGAACAAGGAGAACTGCCGATGTTGGACTGCAGGATAAATCGAAGGACAGATGGTAGTTTGGATACTACCACCTACAGAAAACTTACATATTCCAACAGGTATCTAGACTTCAGGTCATGTCATCAAATGTCAGTTAAGGCGGGCTGAGTCAAATGTCTGAACGATAGGGTTGGAAAACTCACTGGTCAATAATGTAAGGAGCTAAACAAGGAATTGAAACAGGTTAGAGAAGCGCTAATAGTTAATAGTTATCATCTGCAATTTATTAAGAAATTTGTACGAACACATAAGAAACGAAAAGATAACAGTCACGGAGTACGAATAATAACGACAACACAAGTAGGAAGGAGTTCATAGTCTCCATTGTGTTACCCTATAAGCAAGGTACATCAGAAACTTTACGTGGAATCCTCAACAAAGCTAGAATTAGGGTGACATTTAATTAACCTACAAACTCACTCAGAGATAAGCTTTGTCACCTGGCTTAAGCATCAGATAGAAGGAACTAAACAAAATGATCGAATCTATCAAATTCTATGTAATGACTTTGAGTCAGGTCAAGTACATAGGTCAAACTAGTCGGTCGGTGTCAGTTAGACTAGCGGAACATAGGAATTTATCTAGATATAGAATAACAGACCTAGGTAAGATGAAAAGTCTAGAAGGGGACCTCGGCTACTGCAATGTATGTATTGACACACAACCACACAATAGGGTGGAGGATGAGACTACTGTAGTTTATTCCAATATAATTAGGTGAAGAGAGAGGAAGACATTGATTACAGAACGTCTGTTCATCTAATCAACATCCATCACATGTAATAAGAATCAACAAATCAATTGATCAAATAAACAAATCTAATATGTTTACCTCAGAAGCACTTCAAGATTATGCAATTTCGACTGATTCTACTTAAACAATAGACTTGAACTGTGTGAGGTTATTATCTCCGGACAGGTAAGTATAATTTAAAGCCAACAAAACTGTTTGCAATTCTACTGAATACGTTAAATTGTTTTTTTCTGAAAGCATATCACTTACTAACTGATACTTTAGACAATGTATTATATAATACTACTTTTCCCTTAAGCTTAAGCACCACGCCTCTGTTCCACTCTCTTCTCTCCAGTCTTTTCAACCTGCCTCCATAACTGCCCACAACCTCTCATTTCTTACCCACACCATCGCCTCTATGTCACCCTCACCTCTCACGCCCAACTCGTCGTCTCCCCCTCACATTCCACCCTACAACCTGGCATGGCAGGTGATGTCCCCACACAGTCTTCTCAAGGCATACCCAATCCAATCCAATCCAATCCATCTCCACTTCCACTTCCTTCTCCATATTTGTTGGGTGATAGGTACTTAGTTGGTTGGTTCCTTGCCAGACAGCCAGCCAGAGTTCCTCCTTCCTCATTCTTATTATTCTCACCATCTTCACCATCTTCAGTATCGAGTCAGTGTAGGTGTTATATGTTGATGAATATCTGTAGTTTGTTGGAAATGCTTTTCGAGTTATGCGCCAAGTTTCTGAACCTTATAGCAGCACTGGCATGACTAGATTAGTGTTGGAAATTCGGATGTTGTTCACGCTTTATGCTGAGAGAAGTGAAGTGGAGTGCAGTGGAGTGGAGTGGAGTGCAGTGCAGTGCAGTGCAGTGCAGTGCAGTGCAGAAGATCTCACTGGTTTCAAGATAATGATAGCCTATCTGGCTGTCTTTCCAATCCTGACTGACTTTGACATCTTCGTCTGTGTTTGTGCCACTGCCTGTAGTTGAAACGATGCTGCCTGCCTAGTTGGATGGGTAGGTGAAAGAGGCTACTTCCTATAAGTTCCTCCGTTTGATGATGATTGGAGCTTGCTGTTGTTGGTGATGGTGTTGTTTGTGTATCTTAATCACCTCTACCTCTGCCTTCTCTACATTCACTTGAAGTCCCGTCTTCGCTGTCCTGACCTGCCCTGCCCTACCTCTTTTGTCAACTTGTTAGTTTTCACCTGCAGATCTTCGATTTTGTGCAACAAG